AATGGCTGGACTTACGGGGCAAAAAATTTCGGGTTGTCACAGCATCGGCCTGAAAGCCCGGTTCATGAGATCCATGAACGTTATTGGTGCATTGATGAGCCCGAATGGCATCACTACGAACTCGTAATGACCATAACGAGTCCTGAAAGCCGTCTTCTGCACGTTATCATCCCTGACCCTCATTTGATGGTACACTGATCGCAAATTTATCAAAATGAAATGACACAAGTAAATAAGTTATGTATATCTTGTCTATCGATATTAGTCTATAAAGTCTATATATTTCAGTACTTCAAATCCCATTTCCCATGCTTTTGATCCAAATGCTAAAGATGAACATGATTTGGTCATTGGATTGATGGAGATTGTATTCTTTTCAAAAAGTTTTTGCTTAATGAAATGCATACCCACCACAAGTGATATATTGATTCTAATGATTTTGTTCCACAAGATATGTGTTTGTATTTACATTATCACATTATGATCAACAATCGTTTTATTTTGGGTTTTAATAAAATTACAAAGTCGTGTTTTAGAAAATTAGGATTGTGGAGCTGGATGGGAAGTTGATGAAGCTGCAGATTGTGAGTATTGTTTCTTGCACATAGTCTTGAACAATAAATGTAGTTTATTTCAAAAAATTATTATGAGAAAGTCACTTTCATTGAAATTATCACTATATTAAATAGATGAATATTAAATATATTACCTTTTTTTTCATAAAATCTTTCTCTAGATACAGTAGGATAATGTTTGTCAGGAGTGGTTTCGTACTATAACCAGTCGTTACTACAGTAAAACATATGGTATAATCGTAAGAATTAGTTTGTATGATTTATTAAAAAATTATGAAGAAAACTCCATGATTATATTCATTGTCATTTGTATAGACTACAATGTCCATTGTTAAAAATTGGATATCTTGTCACTTCAATTGAAGTTCGTGATTGATTTTTTTGTTCTTGGTCTACTGGGTAACATGTTGAGATCCTCTATAAACCATAAATGCTACTTGCCTTAAAAATCCAAAATTAAGATATTATGCACTCCATCCAACAATCATCTTGTATTTATAAATTTAATAAATGTATATCACCATCCTCAATGCATTTATACAGAAAAAAAGCTATGGGGAGAACCCAGATGATAAACCATTAAATTTTTGTGTCCCAAAATATAAAATTTGATATTATTGAGTTAAGAAAGAAAGTGATGACTTTTGATTATAGGTAGCGTTATAGTGTTTGACTTGGAAGTAATATTTTTTTTTTCAGTCATTTTTGAGTAATTATTATAATTCCCATTTGTTTGCATCTTTCAAAACAATTGATACATATTGTGTATGACGTCACCGATATGCAAAGCTTCGAGAAATTGAAGTAGTGGTTAAGTGAAATTGATAGATATGCAAACGAATCAGTCTGCAAGCTTCTTGTAAGAAACAAGTGTAATTTTCTTGACAACAAGGTCATTGATACACATACATCTAAGGTATTATTGCCTACTTTTATAAAAATTTTATTGCATTAAGAAATTCCAACGATACTAAATAAAAAAGGGACACCTATATATAGAGCTTAATGGATTAATTAAGTCATGTATTTGCACACATTTGTTGATGAGCTTAGATCCTTTTTCTTGAGACCAATGCAAAAGATTCAGTCAATGGGGAATAATTTTTCTTAACAATGGTTGTTATGATTAAGAAAAAGTAAGATTGCTTACTATGAGCAGGGTTATTGGAGGGTAGTTTAGTATTTTTAGTCATAATTTGAGAAGGGTTGTTCAAATCAAATGGCAGCCAACTGAGCAGATAATGGAATTCCTCCCACCCATCAGAAATGTGAAATCCATCTAACCTGGAATCTGAGGGAATCCATACAATTGGACTTATTCCAATTAGAACAAGACAGCCAGATAATGTTGGGTTAATCGTTTATTTATTGGGTCACTTAAAGTCTTTTTGTTAGACAACTTAAAACATTAACAAGACATAAAATTAAACATAAACTAGTCCTTATCGTAATCTTCGCCAACTTCGGGCTCCTCGTTCTCATCATCATTACCCCGATATCATCTTGTTTCGGCAACCCTTGAAACTAGTTTTCAATTTTTTGGCTGTATTATAAGTTTTTAATAATAGCATCCACGAGATCCTTTGGCTACAAAACAAAATGTACTTTAAGCCTAATTGGGTGTATCTACAAGATTGTTGCCAAAATTCTTGCAAATCGCCTTAAAAAAGTTATTGGGTCAGCTATAAATGAAGTCCAATCAGCATATATCGGTGGCAGGAATATACAAGATGGTCCGCTTATCATGAATGAGATATACAATTGGGCGAAAAAGACTAAGAAAGGCGACGTTTCTATTCAAGATTGACTTCGAAAAGGCGTTTGATACAATAAACTGGGGATACTTAGACTCGATAATGGAGCAGATGGCTTTCGGAGACAAATGGAGGAAGTGGATTCATGGTTGTTTATCCTCTGCTAAAGCCTCTGTTCTTGTCAATGGGAACCCTACTACTGAATTCCCCATAACCAGAGGTGTTAGACAAGGTGACCCATTATCACCTTTTCTTTTCATCATTGCCATGGAACGTCTCCACGTTGCTGCCCAAAGCGCAATAGACAGGCATCTCGTACAGGGTGTAAAACTACCACACGCAGGTCCCACCATCTCGCATCTGTTTTATGCAGACGACGCCATATTCACAGGAAATTGGGACAAAGGTAGTATAAAAAATCTTTCTCGGATTCTTAAGTGTTTTGAAATGACTTCAGGTCTCAAAGTCAACTTTCACAAATCACGATTGTTTGGTATTCACACCTCCGAATCCGAGCTTCAAGATTTGGCACAAGTCCTTGGGTGTTTAAAAAGCTCTTTCCCATTCACATACTTAGGGGTGCCAGTCGGTGCAAACATGCTGTTGAAAAATAACTGGAAACCTATAGTTGGGAAATTCCAAGAAAAACTCTCAAACTGGAAGGCAAAAACATTGTCGTTTGGGGGAAGGTTAACCTTAATCAAATCAGTATTGGGAAGCTTGCCTACTTATTACATGTCATTGTTCAAAGCTCATTGTTCAAAGCACCAGAGGGAGTAATGGATCTCTTAGAAAGGCTCAGACGTAGATTCCTATGGGGTGGAACTGATGAAAAGCGCAAGATGCACTGGGTAGATTGGTCAAAAGTAGTAGCGGAAAAGAAAAATGGGGGTCTAGGGGTCGGAACACTAAAAGCACAAAACCTGGCGCTACTTACCAAATGGTGGTGGAGACTGAAAAATGAAAGAGGCAGCCTATGGACGGAGGTCATAAACAGCATACATAACTTCAAGAAACAGTCGGCCACATATCTTGGAAAAAAAAACTGTGTCAGGGGTTTGGAGTAACATATGCAAAGCGATTAGGAGCATCAAGTTACACAATATCGATCCATATGGCTTATTTGGCCTTGTACCAGGTCAAAATATTGATATTCTCTTTTGGAAAGACATATGGTGCGGGGATGTTACTTTACAAAACCGATTCCCACTACTGTACAATCTTGAATCAGTGAAAAAATGCTACCTTATGGACCGGCTGTGCAACAATGGATTCTCATGGAATTGGAAATCAAACCCAACTGATGCGGGATCCCTTCTAGAACTCCATGAATTTCACACTTTGTTCAACACATTAGACTTCAATCGTGTCACCAAGTTTGGATTTCGTTTTATGTTTCAATCAGACGGAGTTTACAGGGTCAATATTTTGAGGCGCATGTTGGATGCTAAAATCAATCAATTTGTTGGACCCCAGATTTGTTGGTCAAAACTCATCCCTCTTAAGGTGAAATGTTTCATTTGGAGAGCTGTGTTGGATCGGATACCAGTAGCTGAGGCATTAATATATAGGGGTATAAATGTCCAAAATCAAAATTGTCAACTATGTGGGACTTGCATTGAAACTACAAACCATCTTCTGGTAGAATGTGCTTATTCCAAAGATGTTTGGTACTGGATTCCGAAGTGGTGTGACATAAAAAACTTGCAAGCTCGAAAGGTGGAGGACATCATTATTTACGCTGCAACATGGGGGACTTGTCCCAGGAAAAAGAATATCCTGAGTATGATATTTTATGCTACTTTATGGAACATTTGGATTACAAAAAATAATAAGATTTTCAAGAACATTGTTGCTTGTCCAGCTAGAACCGCAGACTCAATCATATCTCAAACGTTCGAATGGAATAAATACAGAGGCAACAACTCGGGGAGTTGGGTGGAATGGAGTTGTTCTCCTCTTTTAATTTAGCTGCTTTGTGTTTCTCTGTACTCTTATTTTTGTTTTTTCCCTGTTATCATCCCACTCATAGCAACTTGCTTTAGTTGGGTCTTCTATTTATATAATATTTTGCCGTTTCCAAAAAATGAAGAGTTCTATAATGATACTGTGGATTTTGCATTTCTGCAATTTAAATACTGTTTTTATAGATTTTAAATAACAGTTTTTATATATACTATAATAATAGTTGCTGTAAAAAAATTTTAAAGTCTTTAGTGGCGATATAAGGCAATGGTGACACGTATAACGATGGAAACAGCAGCAACCCATTAGCGATAATATATCGCCGCTAAAGCCTTTATTGGCAACATAGTCGGCAGTGGCTTATGTAGCCCCCTAAACCTATATTTTTTGTTGTTCATGTCAAAAGTAAGTGATTTAGGTCACTTTATGTTTTAGATTGCAATACAATTTTTGCATCTAATACGAAAGTATAATGGCCATTTTGCGACGAACATACATCTTCTTTTCTAAAGACAATTGTTTTGGCAAAATCATGATTCATTTCTTGGTTAATGAACCATTTGTAAGACCAACCGTCCTAACTATTCTTGGCAGATAAACGCATAAAAGGACACAAAAGAAACCTTAATTACCCAGCAGGGAGTCTAATTCTTCCTAATGACGGCAAGTAGAACTCAATGATGCATGACACGGCTCTGGTTCATTACTAGATTCTAAAATTGACATGCGAATAATAAGTTTTTCCGGGTTTAAAACCATGTGGAACTGCATTTAACGCAAGGACTGCTTCATTCCTTCGAGAGGTGAGCTTAAATGAAAATGGACCACGAAAAGATGGGTCCATATTTAGTGCCCAAACTGCACCCCATGTGTTCTCCATGCTTCTGAATTCTTTTGAACCATTTAGTCGTATTTCGACTGCATCAAGACCACCATCTCCGTCACAAAACTCTACTGCCATTGCGAACCAGTAAGGGTTCACCATTGGATCTATCTTGAAGGCGATTTTTGTTCTACCATAGTTGCATTTCACCCTGGATAGCCAAATTGAAATTGAAATGTAAGACACATGTCATAAAACATTAGATTAAAGGTTTGCTTATTCTATGCACCTTCGATATTGAATGTTAACAACACCAAGATTACGTAGTTTATCAGCTTGCCCTGGACTTGACATTGCACCAAAAGCGGTTCCACTTAGATCAAAATGGAAGGGCACATTGTTACATGCGCCAGGGCACTCATCGGTTATGGTCACAAAAATAGGGTTCTTTGAGCAATATGGCTCTCGAGTGCATAAAACCTGACATATTAATCGTGATTACATATATGTAATTAGTCAATTGTAAATTTTAACTCTAGCTTCTGTACCTGATAACAAGTCCCACACCCTTTTCCTTTCAAAAACAATTTGGCATTTCCTGCTGCTATCATGGCTGAGAATGGAGCTGATTTAACATCATTAGCCCACCCACAAGCTCCTCCTGTGTAATCAAGATAGTACCGAAGTTATAGAGTCTCAATTGAACTAAAAGAAATGGTATTTTGGTGAAATGACAAACATAAACATGTACAAATAACAAGAAATAAATCACATACTCCTCTAATAATAATACCTTATGTGATTGAAATCATGTAATTAAAAAAAATTATCGAAAACATTTTCTTTTTTGAGGGGTCACCTTTTTTATATGTTTGGACCAATAGTGGTACCTATGTAGCTGTGCCTAAACGTGTATGTATATTGATATAAGCTTTTTTGTGTGTGTGTGTGTTAATGTAGGTGTATGTGCTTATCAATAAGTGGATATGTGTGTAAATATGCATGAATGTATAATGAACTCATTACATAAACAAATTTATATTGTCATGCATTACCACTTCCAGCGCCATCTCGATCTCCATACCATGTTGCTACAGCAGGTGCGAAGCGGCCTGGATTGCTTCTTTTAGCAAGGAGCGTGTGGTTAGAACACGTAGAGTAGTTTACAAGCAAATACATCAAAACCAAGATCAACCAAGATTTTTGAAGATTTGAGGCCATCTTATTGCTTGTATAACCGTAAAACAGTTCTGGATCGATAATGCTTCAAATGAATACCACTCCACTAATACTATAGAAACGAACCAAAACAATAAATTAAATCACTAGGGATAACCAAAGAGACTATCACTCAAATTGTTTTCTACAGACAACGAAGTTTCCATGCAAGTCACTGAAGTTAATGTTCTCTTTGTCCTTGTATATGTATGCCAAGTATGTGGCTTGTGGATATAATCAAATCTTCATGTGAAGATTTAATTAGTCAACAGCATATAAATAGGATCATTTTGTGGATACCAGTTAATTAAACCTCAATCAAATTGACTTTATCGAATTCCATATATTTTTGGCGCTCATGTAGGTCAAATCATCTACAATATAGGAGATTTATGAAAATTTTAGGAGCCAGTTGTTATTCCCCTACTGTAATTTGAGACAAACTAGAAGATTTAAAAAAAAATATTTTCAAAATTATGCTTATTATAAATTATTCTTCTATACTTCAAATGTCAAATAAATTAAACTAGAGAGGGTTATTGTGACGCCCTTCGTTTAGACATGCTACTGTAATTTGAAACATGCCAGTATACCATCTTTTCGCCCCCATATGTCAGGATCCATTAATACACGTAAGCTACAACAAAATTTAGCAGTCTATGTTTTTCATTTACACATTTATTAGAAAATTAAAATGTTTTCTAAAGTCTCACGAGTATTTAAAGGAGGCATTCTAATGTTTCGATGACCATCCCCAAACCCTAAGGTAATCCATCTTACGATTTACATGGAATCACTACTAGAAAACTAGGGCAACAGCTACGGCAAAATCCGTAGCTATTCAGTAGGTATAAGGCGATACCTACGGATTTGCTACGGAAAATGCTCTGTAGCATAAATGCCCGTGGGAAATTTATACCTACGGAATTGCTACGGACTAATTACAGAATAGCTACGGCTTTTTCCGTAGGTATAATACCTACGGAATAGCTACGGAAATACATAGCTACGGATTTCCTACGGATTACCAACGGAGCCCACGTTGACTTTATTACCTACAGATTTCCTACGGCTCACATTACCTACGGATTTTCCGTAGGTAATCCGTAGGTAATTACTTTTAATTTTTTTTTTTAAAAACAGCAAAAATTATTAAAAAAAACTTTAGCTTTTTATGTCCAAATTATTGAAAAACCCCATTACATTAAACTTATAACAACCACAAAACAAATAACATTATAATAAATCTAATAAACCTAAAAAAGTATCAAATACAAATTGAACATTGTCTAATAACACATTAAACGTGTCTAATAATACACATTAAAAGTGTCAACTACAAATGTTTAACTAAGTGCTTACAAACATAAAATTGAGAATTATTTGGTGGATTACTTGGCAAATTATTGGGTAAGTTGAATCGATAAATGCTTACAAGTGTTCTTCAAATTGAGTTTTGAATCAAAGCCTCCAATTGTTCCTGTTTCAACACACTATAATCAATGATCACGAAAAAATACAAATATAGCAATATACTTTTACTTATTTGTTTATTCACTACTACAAATTAGCTTCTAATCTTGTTACGAGATTTCCAACTACATACTCTTCTGTCATTTCAAGAAACTCTGAAACACATCTCACAATGAAAATGTTTTTTTGTTGATAATTCGAAGTTAATTCCATACAAAAACTTTGTTGCAATTTCAAATCCAAAAGAGATTTCAGTTACCAAAAGATCAGAATCTTTGAGGTTGGATACTAATTTCCTTGTGTAACCATGCTTTGAAAGTTGAAACATATGGATACTGGATAGAGTTAAAGAAATAAAGTATAAGCTTACATAAGAGGAATAATATCAAAAGGGTATACATGAATTATACCTTGTATAATGAAAAAAAACACCTCATGTGTGGATTGTAACATCAATTGGGATCTCTTGGGAGAAAAGTTTGTTAACATTGAAATAAAGTCTCGTTAGATCTCACTGTTGTTCTAAAAAAAGTCTATTTAGATCTTCAATATTGAAAGTATAAAAGAAACAAATTGAGAAGATTGAAATAAAACCAGTCATAGGTTTTCTTCATGAAATTAGTCAAAAGTTGCTCACTTTAGTCTCTTGGCGTGCTGTGGGCAGTGAATTCTCTTTTGTAGAACATCTATTAGGACAAATATTGATTAATTATATCATTTTACTAAACTATTTTCTATGTTGGTTTTGAAACAACCATAAACATGGAGGAAAAGATGAACCTTTTATAGCATTTTAAGCATAAAATACAAAGACAATCTGTTGACTTGAAGCATGGAACAAGAACCTAATGACAAATTTTCAAATGCAAGCATCAAACGAAATTAGTTTTGAAGCATCAGGCAATAATCTAGTGGTTTTGAAACAATAAACTATAAGCATCAAACACAATCTGATGGCAGACCTTCAAATGGAAAAATCTCATGGTTTGAAGCATCAAACAATAAACTATAAGCATCAACCTAGGAGCATCATACATAACTCAAACAACCATGGTTTGAGTCTAATTCCAGACAGATTTGAAGAATTGGAGTAATAACCTTGGTCGCCTGGATAACAGATGGAGCAGAGGGGTTTGAAGAAGGCATCGAACTGAACCCAAAATCAAAACAAACCCAAAATCAAAACAAAGTCTAAATCGAAATCAATCCTAACCCAAAACGAAAACCTAAGTTGAATTAAACCAAAAAAGGCTTACTTGAAACAATGATGACAATGGCGATGGCGACGAGAGATGACCGGGGCTAAAAACGATCTCTATGTACAACATTGCTAGCAGCGGCGGTAAGATGGAACTCCGACGATGAAAACGAAGATGAGAGGGGGTGTAAGGGGGAGGTGCGAGTAGGAAACAGTGAGAGAGAAGAGGGAAAACGAATCAGGGAGGGAGATAGAGAGAAGCGGGATAATAAAAAATTTCGTCGAAGGATCCCGCTAAATGGAGGCGGACAAAAGTATTGTGAAACCCTAAAATCGGAAATGCCAAAAAAAAATATGGGTGGTTGGACTTGAACTCGCGTCTATCGTAGATACAACCAAGGAGACTACCAACCGGCCGGGAATGCCACATCCATACCTTCTTCGTCTACAACAGGTTTTAACCACTTCCAATTTCGTTTTTATTATTATTAGTATTATTATTGTTATTATTATTATTATTATTATTATTTCTATAGTTATTATTATTATTATTATTATTATTATTATTATTATTATTATTATTATTATTATAATTATTATTATTATTATTATTCAAGTCTTAATTTTTTTTGGATAAATTTTCTTACATATTTACGACACGAACAGTTAATAGAAGTGTGAAAAAAACGAAGAAAAATGACCTTTGGTCGCCGAAAAATCGAAATTAAAAAACTCCGTAGTTAATTAACTACGGATTAGCTACAAATTTTTTTTATTTTCGGTTTTTCGGGCACCAAACGTCGTTTTATCCGCTTCGTTTTTCGGGCACCAGCCAGGGGCTCTACCCCTTGGACCCCGTCAGGGGCGCTACCCCCGGACCCCCGTTTGTTTAGGGTTTTCTCCCCTAAATAACAATGTACTTTGAATCTTGAAAAAATTGAACAAGTGTGCATTCCTACACCATCCTAACTTGTTCAATATTCAACAAGATCAC